ATCTTTAAGGTGGAGCTCTTTGTTTTGGTGAGATTTTTTGACAATCTTTTACTGATTATAGTACTCACTTACTGCTCCTTTTGCGATGTACTTATATGTTAGTTCCTCTTTTTGGTATCCATTAATTTGTCTATTCTTTTGAGTTGTCTCTTGTGGATTTCCGATCATCCTGTATGCATGCAAATCGTGATTTGCTCATACATCATTGAAGATACATAGGTACAATGGAGTTGAGTTACGATAACTTATTCTTGGATGATATCATTGAAGTGGTGTGGCACTAATTCTAGTATGATACTAATTGAAGTGCTGCAGCACCGCAAATATAAAATGATATTCAAAGTTGTAGTTTTTGGCACTCTGACCTTATTTAAGCTTCCACTTTTGAGCATATTGAAATAGAAAATAAACCCAGACAAATCGTAGCTTTTATTGACTACATCAAAAGTGAAATTGTCAATTTCACAATGCAAGTAGAATGGAGTTTCCTTGACTACCGCGGTGTCAATATGCCTAGGGTAACCACATGTTGAGTAAATTTCAAAGTCTAATGTTGATTTTTGTATATTAATAAACATCTACCAAGATATAATAGTGGTATTTTCATGTGTTCTGAATGGTACCACACTTAAAACTTTCATCCTGCAATGTACAGTTTTAATTTTAAATTTAGTAATCTTTTTGTAAAAGCTGCAAATCCGCTTAATTATGTTTTTCTAGACATGATTTTGGTTGCTTTTGCGACAATTCTCTGTGTCTGCCTCTTGCTATTAAGTTTCTCTATTTTCTTCCTTTCAACCAATTTGCTTTCTGCTTTGTAGCCGTTTTCCCACAAAAATAAATTATGTACAGTCTATGAGAGCTATATATTCTCTTTGTTGGGAGTCAATACTTTTTTCTCAAAGATCTAGTTATGTTGACAATATTACCATTTATGAATATGCAATGCTCATAACGATTCATCAGTATTGGCATTGCTGGGTGGCCTGACATGTGTTTGCCATCCTTTATACTTTATCCTAGACGGACAGAACTTACTGTTCGGAGATTACTTGTGCCTGCCTTGATCTTAGCAAGTAAAAAATGTTGTTTCTTTTTTTGAATGCATCTTATTTTGCTTATTGCTCGAAGCTCACTAGGTATTTATGCTTGCTTACAATTCCATTTATTTATTTTCAAATATAAATAAAGCTTTGACATTTTCTGTTTCCACAAAGTATAAGTAATTATGTTTGAGCGTAATGCTATAGGATCGGATCATTGACATTTAAATTTCTTGATAATGTAAAATACTCATTCATAGATCTGGATTACGACAAAAATGTTGGAGGGACAATGACTGAAGTTCTGAGTGCAACATATAGAAGGGCAATGGAATCATTTATTAGTGAGACGTTTGAAGTATATATTTTTATATTCGACTTTTTCCAGGGTTATATTTTGTATTTTAGATATTTTGTTTGTTATTATAATAATTTGAGATTCGGTATAGCACCTGCTGATAGTAAACAACTCTGTCTTCTTTTGTGTATTATGTCTTTGGTCAGAAAGAGAAATTTCAGATATTTACAAGGAAGAAATACTATGAGAAGTCTTATTTTTCATTGCTAAGGAGAAAACATAATATTCTTGCTACTCTATTTCTAGGAATATCACAGCTAATTGACTATAGCCTTATAAGAAGTTGTTCTTGATAATTTTGAGAAGACATGGGATATATATGGTGCTAAAAGCTAAAATTACTTTTGTGCGTCACAGGCCATTTAATTTTTTTTTGCTCAGATTCCTTTTCAGTTCTATTTCAGAACTGAACTTCATGGATGATATCGTTATTGTACTGTCTCTCCACTCCTTGACAAAGACTAACCGTTTCTTTTAGTTTTCTCGGGGCTTGCAGAAAAATACTTATTGTTCTTCATCCTTTCAATAAATTTACAATTCCAGGTATGCTCCTCTTTAACTTTAACTAAATTTTCTGTTTCTTTTCCCTTTCATCTTCTTTTTTGTTTTTTAAGTTCTCTTCAAATTTTAGTCATTACTCCCTCCCTTCCATATTAACTGAAGCTTTGAGCCCTTTTTCATTTTTCAAATTAACTTAATTTTTCAATCTTCAAAACTATTTTTAAAATATTCTTCCAATTTTACCCTTTAAGTTAGTATTGGAATTAGTTATTATAATTAATGTTTAGTTATTTTTGACAATAATTAATAAGGGTAAAAATGGAAAATTATGTTCAATTTATGTCCTAACCTACTTTTCTTAAAGGGTGTGAAACACCTCAAAGCTAAAGTTAATATGGAATGGAGGGAGTATTCTATATAGGGATATTTCTACTGAAGTCCTGGTGCACTATATAGGCTGTTGGAAATCAGATTGATTGAAAAATAAAAAACCACTCAACTGACCTATAAGTTTTCTAGCTGAATCTTTATTTTTTCAAGGGCGTTTCAAAAGAAGTTATATATAGATTTCTATTGTAGCTTAGTCACGTCTTTGAATTTTAATGTGAAAAACACTTCTTTCTCTGAATAGGGAACATTTCTTTGCTAATTAGATTGCTAAGACTCTTCCTTTGAACTTCTTTTAAGGCGGATATCTTGTTGTGATAAAGAAGTCGGGACTCTTGGTTGAACTATTTTTTTGGAGGTAAGATACTGATAAATTTAATTGAATCTTCTACGTCACAGATCCCAGTCATTGTAGATGGGTTGTTGGATGCCTTTCTGCTTCACATCTAAGAGGTTGTAGTTTATGGAGTCTTGAACACTGCTACTTATAAAATCAGTATAGCAATTTAGTTTGTGTTATTCATCGTAGAATATTTATTTATTATGTTCAAATATATAAGAGAAGTTTGGAAGCATACGGGTCAATATATGAAAATATGTCCTTAAACTAACTTTGAAAAGACGAAGGGTACACTTAAAAAATAAAAGGAGACATGAACGTTGAGATTTAAGGTGGGTCTTTCATTGCTTTAAATATGAATGTAAGTTTTTCTTCAAAGAAATTGATTTCTCTTTGACTTGTATTTCTATTTTTTCAAAAATATTTATTTATTTCCATTAAACAAATGAAATTATTTGAAGTGGAAGTATCCTTTGGTGTAAAGTAAATATTTCTGCACGGATATAAGATTTTGTGCCGTTTTTGTTATTTCATTATTTATCTATGTTGCACGCCAATAAACACTAATAGTTCTTCATCATCCTTTTTTCCTACATGCTCGCTTTGTATCCAGCAGTCAAAGAAGTGTTCTGTTATTTATTGAAATGATGATATAAATGAGGTTTCAGATAAGTTTGGTGCTGCTGCTCTTTCAATATTAATAGATGTTGTGTTGCCGCAATTGCTGCTTCTCCAGGAAGACATTTTTCTCTACACAAATAAGTTTTGTGCTTCAATAACATTGACACGAACATACCATAGCCTAGGAGAATGGTACACTTTTTTGTGGATTTGGCTGGACTGCACTGACATATATTTGAACTATCTACATATGTATGGAAAGCTTAAGGAAATGCTTCGTCAGCTTGTGTACCAATCCACACAACAAGCATCAGTTCCCTTTTTTTTTCCTCCCCTTTCTTTTTTCTAGGCGATACTACTCTAGATTCAATAGAGTAACTGGAGCAACTCGGGTTGGAACTTCATGCTGATTGACTCGAACAATCCCAATAAAGTCATCTTTAAATATATCCTTATCCTTGACCACAACATCCAAAACAGAAGACTACATTCTTTCTTTAACAAAAGCAAATAGTACTGTATTCCATTCTGGACTTTTGATCTTTCTCAAAGTGTTGTGTCTCCTTTGTAGTTCCCAACTCTTACTTCAACATAAGGGTCAAGACTTCTTGTGATATCTTTGGAAAGCAAACATTGTGCTTTCACGACTCTTACAAACAGGAATTGAATAGGCTCACCGAGGTCACATGTGCTGAATGTTGTGAAGAAACTCCATTAACGGGAGTAAAGAAAGATTAAGAGAGAGTTAAGAGAGACTCTAAGAGAAAAGAAGAAAATAATGTTCATTCATATATTTCCTATAAGCTAACATCCTATATATATATACAGATATTTAGGCATAAATGTCAGCTGTTATTTTTCTAACTAACTAGATTCCTTTCCTAACTAACTTCTTATTCACTAATTAACTAACAAACTGAATATATGACTAATACAAGCCTTTCAACACCCCCCCTCAAGCTAAGAATTGGAAAATACATTTTTCATTCCAAGCTTGTCAATTAGTGCTTCATGTTGTGGTTTGCACAACCCTTTAGTAAGTAAATCTGCTTGTTGTTCTCTTGTTCCTAAGTGTTGTGTTTGAATGAGTCCTTCAAGTATCTTCTCTCTTACAAAGTGGCAATCTATGTCGAAATGCTTTGTTCTCTCATGAAAAATTGGATGAGCTGCTATTTGAATAGCAGCTTTGTTGTCACAGAATAGCTTTACAGGCAACTTAACATTTATTCCCAATTCCTTGAATAAGCCTTTTAACCAGACAATTTCAGCCACTGTAGTAGCCATACTTCTGAACTCTGCTTCTGCAGAACTCCTTGAAATTGACCTCCAAGACACCAATGCACCTCCCAGCTTTATTATGTAGCCAGTTACTGACCTTCTTGTTTCTACACAAGCTCCCCAGTCTGAGTCACAATAAGCTACTAGTTCATTTTCCTTATTGCTTGGCATAAACAATCCAAGACCTATTGTCCCCTTTATATATCTCACTACTCTAAGTGTTGCTTCCATGTGAGATAGTTTTGGTGAGTGCATGTATTGACTAAGAGCTTGAACTACAAAAGCTATATCAGGCCTAGTCATAGTTAAGTATAGCAACCTTCCTATTAATCTCTGATATTTTCCACAATCATCAAGAAGTATGTCTTCTGTACTATCTTTCTTTCATGTGCATTCATCAAACATAATAGATGTCAACTTGTGATTGAACTCCAAGGGAGTAGATGAGGGCTTACAACCTGCTAGTCCCAACTTAGACACAAGCTTGAAACCTTAGTGCTCTAGCCATGTTAAGAATGGATCTATGTTTCCTCTCAACCACTCCATTTTGTTGAGGAGTGTAAACACATGAACTCTGATGCAAAATGCCATTTGTCTTGAATAGATCATTCACTTGAGAATTGAAAAACTCTGTCCCATTATCTGTTCTTATACACTTTACACCTAGACCAAACTGAGTTTTCACCATGCACAAAAATTCTTTAGAACAACTACAGTATCTGATTTGGTATGCAGTAAAAATACCCAAGTATACCTAGACATATCATCCACTAGTGTTAAAAAATATATCTTGCCAGCATAATTAGGAACTCTATAAGGCCCCCAGACATCACCATGCACAATATCGAAAACTGAAGCAGAACTGGATATACTGGTAGGAAAAGGCAGTCTTGACTGCTTAGCAATTGGACATACAGAACAGTTATGATCATGTATAAGTACAATGTTTTATACCTTTTATTCTACTGAGCACTTTTAAAGGGGGCATGCCCAAGTCTCTTATGCCATAGGCTAGTTTCAGAACTAACAGTAGAAGTAAAAATAATAGGACTAGCTCTTGTACATGAAGCTTCAGTTGCACAGCCTTCAGAAGAGTCTTGACCATGTGGAAGATTTGTTGTGATATCAGTATTGAGTATATAAAGTCCTTGATTCTCTTTACCAATCCCCAGGACCCTCCCATTGAAGAGATCCTGAAAGATGCAGAAGTCAGGAAAAAACACAACAGCACAGCCCAATTGTTTTGTTAGTTGTGAGACAGATAGAAGATTATACTTGAACTCAGGAATAAATAACACATCTTTCACCATTTTGTCTTTCAAAACCAATGATTCACCAACATGACTAATAGAAACCTGATCACCAGTGGGCAAATTTACTTTCATATTACCCTTAACATCAAGATTCTTGGACCGACTCATTAAACTAAAATTGTGAACCATATGGTTAGAAGCACCAGTATCTATGATCCAATTAGCATGAGTCATATCAGTCATGAGAGCTGTGATAATACCTGATGTACCTGCAGTAGCCACGTTAGCCATTGTGTCCATCTCTTTGCCCTTGCCTTTTCTGAGCATCTGCAAAATCTGATTATATTGTTCATGTGTGAACATTGACATTCCCTGTGTGCTCTGTGCACCTGCTGAGGTAGAATTAGTGGAAGAATCATATCCTCTAGCATTTGAACTTACAGAAGAGTCAAACACCCCTGAGTCACTGCTAGCAGAAGCATTGTTTGCATGAGAAGGTGTTCCTCCCTTTTTCTTAGGGTAACCATGAAGCTTGTAACATGTTTCTTTAGTGTGTCCTTTATAGTGACAAAACTCACAGTAGAGTTGTGGTCTTCCAGTAGAGTAATTATTCCTTCCATCACTATAGTTCCTATTTCTATATCCGCCATTGTTCCCACCATTCGAAAATGTAGAAGGACCTCCCCCTGACCCTGAAGATGTACCACTGTTATTGTAATATCCATTATTCCCAGATTGAGAACCAAGAGTCATTCTGTTACTCATAAATGTTGTTTCTAACAGAACTTCTGTATAGGAAGAACCATTGCTCGCACCATGCATTCTTTGACTCTCAACATTAATTATCATAGCATAAGCTTGATTAACATTTGGAACAGGAATCTGCATCAGAACTTGACTTCTAGCATGTGCATAAGACTCATTAAGACCCATCAGAAACTGCCATAATTTTTGAAATTGAAAGTGTTCTGTGTATTGTTTAGATTCAGGACAAGCACAGGAAGGATGAGGGATAAGTGTTTCCACTTCATCCCAAAGTTCTCTTAACCTAGAAAAATAGGTGGACACAGAAGTGGTTCCTTGAGAGAATGTAACTATTTCTTTATGAAGATAAAAGGCCCTAGAAGCATTGACCTTGTCAAATCTCTCACGAAGATCTTCCCATACTGTATTAGCATCAGATCCATAGATCACCGTGCTAATTAAACTCTTAGATACAATATTCATGATCCAGCCTAGAACAATAGCATTACACCTATCCCATACAACAAGTAAAGACTCAGAATACATTTCCTTTTTACATGTTCCTAGTAGAAATCCTAACTTGTTTTTTCCAAGAAACACAAGTTTCAAGGATTTACTCCATAACGAATAGTTTTCAGAACCTAGTAACTGAATCGAAATTAGAACAGAACATTGAGTATCCGATGGATGAATGAACAGAGGATGATTGTGATCAATTGGCCCTGGAATTGCACTTGGAAGTTGTTGACCTTCAACTGGTGCAACTTCGTCAGTAGCAAATGGCATAATTGACCAAGAATTGATCTTCAAACACTGTAGAAATATACTCGACCTTCAACTCAAGAAGAATCTAATCAAATCTACAACCAAGAACTTGAGAAATTAACAGAAGAAAACCGAGAATCCCCAATGCTCTGATACCATGTGAAGAAACTCCATTAACGGGAGTAAAGAAAGATTAAGGGAGAGTTAAGAGAGACTCTAAGAGAAAAGAAGAAAATAATGTTCATTCATATATTTCCTATAAGCTAACATCCTATATATATATACAGATAGTTAGGCATAAATGCTAGCTGTTATTTTCTAACTAACTAGATTCCTTTCCTAACTAGCTTCTTATTCACTAATTAACTAACAAACTGAATATATGACTAATACAAGCCTTTCAATAAATGTTCTGCCACCTCGAGAAAACAGAGAAACAGAGAAATGAGATATCCAAACTGAAATTACAATTGCCTAATTTAGATGCCTACTTTTGCTATTTATCAAATCTAGCACTTCACGAACTGCACTTTCTTCCCCTTGTCCACGTTCTCGTCACCCAATTCCCACAACGAAATCAGTTAGCCTTGTTGATGGAGTTGCTTCTTTTCAAAACCCCACTCTCCTGCTGAGTGTGTGTTCACGGTGGCTGCTGATGTGTCCTCCAAGTCAGCTTGTGGGGTCACAACAATACTCCCTTCCTGAAAAGGAACCTTGTCCTCAAGAAGGTTCATAGAAGTCTCAGGAATAATATTGGCCATGTATCGATCAGGTTCAAAGGAGTAACTTGTTGAACAGGTGTACCTATACAACGTTTGAGCATGGATATGTGAAATACTAGATGTATGCGAGCATTGTCAGGTAGTTCTATTTTGAACGCAACATCTCCAATGAGTTTGAGGATTTTGAAAGGCCCAAAATAACGTCTTCCCAATTTAGGATGTTGGTGAAGGCGAACAGTGTTCTGGCGATAAGATTTAAGTTTGACATAGACCCATTCTCCCACCTGTCAGCAAGACTTTTCATTCGATTCTATGCACGAGCTAAGTTAGCCTTAAGGGGAATGTACCGAGCCACGGTAGGTGGGTCTCTACCATACGACACTCGAAATGGAGTCATCCCAACGGAGGACTGATATGTAGTGTTGTACCAGTGTTCTGCCCATGGTAAATATCGCAACCCATTTGGTGATGCGTACCGATAATTGGGAAAGAAATCGAACTAAGCCTAAAGAGCAAATTAACTAATTGTTCTTGAACAGGTTCTGTAGAACAGAGGAATTGAGAAGAGAAAGAGAGAGAACTGTTTATTGATCCTTTACAATTCGATACCTTTACAATTGGGGTTGATCTCCTATTTATACACGTGAAGTAAAACAGACTCCCATAGTTAGTTATAACTAACTTGGCTACAGTGTTAACCGACTAACAACTAACACGTGTGACTCACATGACCACTAACCGAACTAATGACTTATTTATTAATTGGCACATATCAATACTTCCCCCTTGAGACCATCCTTGTCCTCAAGGATGAAAAGAAGGGAACTGTTGAATGAATGACTGGTAATCCTCCCAGGTACTATCTTCCTCAGCCGTGTTAAACCACTTGATCAACAATTGAGTAAGTGGTTTGCCATGTCGTTTGATCAATCGTCTGTCAATAATAGCTTCTGGTGCCAGCAACACATGTCCATCGTCTGAGCGAACCAAAGGTAGAACAACAGAAGCAGTGTGGTCGCCCAACTTCCTCTTGAGCTGAGAGATGTGGAAAGTAGGATGGACCTTAGCATTAGGGGGTAAATCGAGAGTATAAGCAACAGAACCCACTCTTCCTATGATTTGAAAAGGTCCAAAAAACTTTGCAGCCAACTTCTGGAAGGTGTAGGCTTTCAATGATACTTGTCTGTATGGCTGAAACTTCACATATACCCAATCTCCTACTGCATACTCCCTTTCAGTCCTCCCTTTATCAGCCTGTGTTTTCATCCTGTTCTGAGCTCGTGCCAAATGAGACTTGAGACTCCTTAGAGTAGCCTCTGAGATGTGGAAAGTAGGATGGACCTTAGCATTAGGGGGTAAATCGAGAGTATAAGCAACAGAACCCACTCTTCCTATGATTTGAAAAGGTCCAAAAAACTTTGCAGCCAACTTCTGGAAGGTATGGGCATTCAATGATACTTGTCTGTATGGCTGTAACTTCACATATACCCAATCTCCTACTGCATACTCCCTTTCAGTCCTCCCTTTATCAGCCTGTGTTTTCATCCTGTTCTGAGCTCGTGCCAAATAAGATTTGAGACTCCTTAGAGTAGCCTCCCTAGCTTGTAGACTTCTATCCACTAGATCCAACTTAGATTCAAATGCCATGTAAGGGAGAAGGGGTGGTGGTTTCTGTCCATAAACCACCTCATAGGGGGTTAAGTTGATAGAGGTGTGGAAGGTGGTGTTGTACCACCATTCAGCCAGTGAGAGCCATTGCGGCCATTCTTTAGGCTTATCAAAAGTCATACATCTCAGATACCCTTCTAAACACCTGTTAACCACTTCAGTTTGGCCATCAGTTTGTGGGTAGTAGGCAGTTGAAGTGAGAAGAGACACCTTCTGCAGTCTAAACAACTCCTTCCAAAATTTGCTAGTGAACACAACATCTCTGTCAAATACAATTGTCTGGGCATGCCATGAAGTTTGAACACCCCATCCATAAACAACTGAGCCACCTCTAAAGCTGTGTAGGGATGTTTTAGGGCCATGAAGTGGGCAGCTTTACTCAGTCTATCAACCACCACAAAAATAGCTTCTTTGCCTGCAGCCTTAGGAATACCCTCAATGAAGTCCATGGAAATATCTTGCCACACCTTATAAGGAATAGGCAAAGGTTGTAGCAGGCCAGGGTATGCAACATTCTCACCTTTACATTGTTGACAAACCGCACAGTGCCTAACAAATGAATAAACATCAGGTTTCATTCCCTTCCAGAAGAAATCCTGCTTTAATCTTTGTAGAGTCGCCCTCATGCCTGAATGACCACCTCTAGAACTGGTGTGATAGAAATCCATCAGGTCTTTTTTCAGAGTAGGGACATAGCCTACTATTATCTTGCCATTTCTACTTAACAGCCCAGCATGAAACTTAAAATAGGCTTATGACCTCCCGCTCCTTGAATCTGATGGATCAACTTCTGTAAGGAAGGGTCCTATGACCAAGAAGCCTTAACTGCTTCGAATAGTTGAGACTCCACTCCAGAGATATTGTTAAGCTGAACTAGATCATCCTTCCTTGAAAGGGCATCGGCCACCACATTATCTTTCCCTTTCTTATAATCAATAGAATAGTCATAGCCAAGCAGCTTAATCAACCACTTTTGCTGACTTGGTGTAGTAATTCTCTGTTCTAACAGGTACTTTAGGCTATGGTGATCAGTCTTAATCACAAATGGTCTGCCCAATAGGTATGGTCTCCATTTCTGTACTGCAGATACCAATGCAAGTAACTCTCTCTCATAGACTGATAATGCTTGATTCTTCACACATAACCCTTGACTGAAAAAAACAATTGGTCTATTGTCTTGAAGCAACACAGCGCCAATCCCTCCTCTAGATGCATCAGTTTCGACCACAAAGCTCTTGGAAAAATTTGGGAGGGCCAACACAGGTGCTGAGGTAATGGCAACTTTCAGTTCTTCAAAGGCTGTAGAAGCTGCAGGATTCCAATGAAAAGTGCCCTTCTTAAGGAGATCATAAAGAGGTCTAGCAGTGATCCCAAAACCCTGTATAAATCTTCTATAGTAACCAGCAAGGCCAAGGAACCCCCTCAAGGCCTTAAGAGTAATTGGTTGAGGCCAATTCAGCACTGCTTCCACCTTATGGGTGAGGTAGTCAATCTGCTGAGCACCAAAGGCACATTTGCTCTTCTTCACAAACAACACATGGGATCTCAGTATCCTGAAAGTTTCCCTCAAGTGAGACAAGTGAGCATTCCAGCTTTGGCTATAGACTAGAATATCATCAAAAAATACAAGTATGAATTTTCTGAGATGTGGTTGAAAAATCTGGTTCATGAGGCTCTGAAATGTGGAAGGGGCATTGGTTAAGCCAAAAGGCATGACCATAAATTCATAATGGCCCTGATGTGTTCTAAATGCAGTTTTTGGGATATCAGATTCAAACATCCTGATCTGATGGTAGCCAGATCTTAAATCCAATTTAGAAAATACTTAGCACCATGGAGTTCATCCAATAACTCTTCAATCACTGGAATAGGGAATTTATCTTTCACAGTATGGCTATTCAGTTCTCTATAGTCTACACACATTCTCCAAGTACCATCTTTTTTCTTCACCATGACAATAGGTGAGGAGTAGGGACTGGTACTATGTCTAATTACCCTCGAGTGAAGCATGTCCTCCACCATTTTCTCAATTTCTTCCTTTTGTACTGTAGGATATCTGTATGGTCTAATGTTTATAGAAGATGTCCCATCTTGCAACATAATCTTGTGATCATGGAGTCTAGATGGTGGTAGGTCTTTGGGAACTTCGAACAAATCACTATATTCCTCTGAGATGCACTCTAGATCATTAACCTCTTCTACATCACTGTCTGGAACTGCCTCAATTGATAACAAGCTGTCATTTTCCTCCTCTTTATAAACCCCAAACGAAATCATACAAAGCTCTGCTGGTTTTGCTAGCAACTTGTCCATGTTGTCCTGATGAACCATCTTTACTGCAGCAGGTTGTATTCCTCTTAAGGAAATTTTGCGCCTCATAATAGTGAACTCCATTTTTAGCCTCCTGAAATTCCACATAATGTCTCCTAATGTTATCAGCCACTGAATTCCCAAAACCATGTTGCATCCACCAATAGGCAAAACTAACATGTCAGAATCAAATGAAACCCCTTGCATTTTCCAATCCAGTTTCTTGCACACATAATTGCTCTGGATTTTCTTGCCATCAGCAACCGATACAGCAAAAGGTGAGATAGCTGTCATCACACACCCCAACTTCTTTGTTGTATT